GCACCCCCGCAGCCCGAGCTACGAGTGAAAGAACTAAACTTACATGAAACTTCCGTTGGGTTGCTTTAAAGTCAAGCTTCAGTTTAAGATTCGCCCTGTAATAGATGTAAAACATGTGATGGAGCATTACTAACCTGACTCAGATGGTTTGTTTCATCAAAACATCTGGGAAAGCTCCATTGGAAGCCATTTGGAAAGGGCAGGCACTTTCAAAAATACTTGGCAGGTGATTGCATCAATCTGTCTATCACCTTCTATCATGGGCCACTTCTGATTGGTTAACAATGGCTGGTACATGTGGAGCACAGCACTTCTGATTGGTGTGGATGAAATGATGAGATTATCAAATCGCAGGCTTTGCGATTTGATAATCTCATCATTTCAAATCGCGATTTCGATTTAAAATTGATTAATAGTTCAGCCCTAATCCACATGACTTCATATTTATTTATTCCGCTACACCGCAGCGTTCAAAGAGCTGGCAGAAGTTCTGTAGGTCGCTCAGAAACCCTTCAGCAGGACAGACTCATTCTGACATACAGGTCCTCAGGTTAAATGTTGCTTAAACTCAAAATTGAAAATCGCTTCTCGATCTTATGACATCTTTGGAGCTCGGAAGTATCATGGAGTTATTGCAAAGAAATGAAATATAGAGAGTTGAATTGGAGCAGAGCGATGCTTATAAACAGCCAAGACGATGAAAGAAGCACAAGAAAAGAAAATGGATAGTTGGAAATGCAAAAGAGGAAAATACTCTGACTATCTCCTCTCTGCTGGGGTTTGACTTCTTAAGACAATAGAACCTCCAGATCCCTTGTTAAGCACTGGCTAATGTTAATCCACAGCATAATACACACAGCCAGCGAAAGTTTAACATATATAACAACAACACAAACACACCATTCAGTAAACATGTAGCAAACCACAAAAGGCAAGCCTACGAAGAAACACATGCAGATTAAGATTAACACTCAGAAAACATTAGCTACAAACAAATGACTTAATGTAATGCACTGCCTTACATGCTGCAGATAAAGCTTTATCCAAAGACAACACCAGAGGGAGTTGCTCATATCCTTGAATCCCACTAATCGTATTCTTTGGCCCCTTCCTCCGAAAGGACAGCTGATATCTACATGAATCTAACAACAGGGAAATGTTTCATGAAAAGCACAATAGGAGTTACATTTATCACTGAATGGGATAAGGAGGGAATTCTCTTTTCAGCAGCGATTAGAAGCTTTTTTTCACGAGATGTTAACATTAATAAAAAGGCCGTCTTTTAGTTTATTACAGTCAGTCAGTTTCTATAATTACACTTTCAGAACAGCCCAGGGATTCTTTTTTGTTCCCGTTCTCATTTGGAGCTTTATTTTTCAGATGTACTGTATATACTGTATTTTCAAAAAGGCATGAACTATGAAATAATTCAAATAGTGTTCCCAGGGGAAGTAAGAACAATGAAACGGACAAATATTACAAATCATATCTGCCTTTCAGTCATTCGGGTGATGCTCTCACAATGAGTCCGACAGTACAAAGCAGTTTACGGGAACACACAAAGCTTTTGAGAAATTGTTTCTTTTGGCTGGTAAACGCTGACAACATCCAGCCTCCCACTAATTTTGAGTGATAATCTGACAGGGAAGTTATCAGCTCGGGAAGACATGACGACAGAATGTGTGCGGCATCTAACGATTATCTTTATTATTGATTGTTATGTTAAATGTTTGCTGTTTGTGTTTCATGTATTGTGTCTGGATACTTGTCTGTTGATGTTGGACAGGGAGCTGCTGTGACGCAAGTCAAATTTCAGACTTGATCTGACAAATAAAGTATTATCGTATCGTATCGATTCATCTACAGATTTTTTTGAAATAATAAAATGATCCCTGACAATGTCTTAGAGCCCTAAGTTATATTTATTTGCTCGGGTAAAATATATCCTTATTTTTGAAAATCTATTTTATCTTTTGAATTTGTAATCTTTGACATGAAGTGTAGAAGCCCATGCACTTATAATGGAACAGGTATGTTGAACACAAATATAACTAAGTGCTTAACAACTCTGTCAACTGCAGAAAAGTCATCAACAATTGAAAAGAAAAAGCTTGTATGTGCTTAAATGAGAGTATTTACTGATCTTACATCATTATTACATTACATATCATTGGGTGTTAGCTTGTCAGATTAAAAAAGCAACCTGAAGGCATTACTAAGGGACTCATCGGAAATCATCACTTTTAACTGACATTGAAGAAACAAAATGAACACTGAAAAGCATACTCTTCACACCACTTCCCAGATTTACCAGCAGCAAAGTAAGGGAAGAGTGCTCCTCTCGACGTGAGGACAGGAGAACAGCCATCAGTCGAGGCAGACAGAGACGTAACATGGGTTGCCTTGTCACACATTAAAACCACAACAGTAGGAAAACACCTAACAGCCCCGTCTTCTGTAGGGCTCCCAGGCCTATAGTTTCCGATCCATCCCTCCCATCCATAATCAACCCCCCCCCCCTTCCACCCTACACCCTACACCCTCTAGTCTAAACCACCATGCTCAGCCCTTTCAAGTGGCAGGTAGACGGGGCCTGATACGCCGCTACCGCCTCGCAACCAGCGGGCTAATTACAAGGGAAGCAGCAACAAGTGAGCATTGTGTGGAGTCTCCAAGACACACGGGGAAAGAAAGTGCTCTTTATCTTGCCCCCCCCTCCCCATCCCACCCTCAACAAAAACAATCTCTGAGAGGCTTTGCGGTTGGCACTCCAGGGTTGGAGAAAGAGAAGAGAAGATTCGGAGACGAAGGTGAAAGAAGTGGAGGCACATCGATGAGAGACACATACCATCACACTTGCTCACCGTGTTGGTCTGACGCGATGCCGGATGTGTCGTGTCGTGTTGTGCTACGACGAGTATTAAGATGTTTAAGGAAATACGCTCTTTCTAGTACTAGTAGTTCATTTAGGTTATATTCTCAATCACAGTGTAGGGTAACTCATTTAGAGAGGATGTGGTTCCCTGGGAGATGTATGTCCATCTGCCTCTTTTCACAAGTAATTACAACTTTTATGTGCAAAAGTGAAAGGAAATAAATATTGTCTAGGATATTCTTTCAAAGAAAAAATGTAAAAAGTCTGTAAAATGTTGACTACCCTAACTTTTGTAGGCATAATTAGAATATGGTGGCTTGAAGTTAAACAAGGGGTAGAACAAAAATATACAAAGAAAGTCAAAACAAAGAATTCCTACATTTTTCATTTTAAAACAATTCACAGTTTCTATTATCTAACTGTGGTGGAGCAAAGAAGAAGCTTCACAGGAGCCATTACATTGAAACTTGAGCTTATTTCCCCATTAACTGGTGCTAATGTGGTGAGCTTGAGGTATTTTTGGAGGACTTATTTCACCAGGAGATAGTCTCTAACAACAGCCATCTATTTTGACCCTTCAACGACCCATTTAAAATCTCCCATGACCAACAGCTGGGTCATTACACATTAAGACAGCAGGGTGAAACACACGAGCAAATCACATTTTCCAGCCATAAAGTAGATGTTGTGATACAGCAGATTCCCAATTCACTGTGCCTCATGTTGGATCAGCCCACAGTAAGTGTGATCTCATAAACATGCATGTCTGCTGTTTAGCAACGTCTTGTCTGCAGGAGCAGGGGGTTAATTCAGGCAACAGGATTACACAGCACGGGAAAAATGAATTAGGCACAACCACTCATGTTTGGTGCAATTAGTCAGCCTATCCATGGATATTGGTTCTCATGGATGACTTGAAGGGATTTTATGATAAATTATTTTTAAGGCCTGTCTGGCTGGATGAGTGATACTACATACTTGAAATCTTTCCCTGAGCCTTTCAGATGTTTGTTTTAGCGGTTTAACACTCAGAACAGCTATTAAGGCAGCAACAAACCTCTTGCTATTCACGCACAGTGCAAACAGATGGGAAACGTCATGTGAAGCGCTTCACGGTGACGGCATCAATCAGAGGCCAAATTCAGCAAAGGCGTAAACAAAAACAAGCTCTTTTTTCGGCTGCGTCTCTCATGAGGGAAAGTAAAGCTTTGTTTCATAAGGCAGATAGGCGGGAAACAGCACAGTTCAAAGTCAAATCAGAGCACATGTAACGTTTGAGAATGATCTGCAGTGCTGCGACTGATCTCACACTAACGCTCCTCTTTAAAACTAAATTGATTTCAGATGTATTAAACTAAAGGGGCGTCAAATGTCTCTGTTTTGCAACTGAACATAAAAAGTAATGGTTTTAGGGCTTAAATGATAGAGGTGTACTCATTATAGATCTCAATCACATTTGACTATACTTAAAGAAGCATAACTGGCAAAAAAAAGCCGAACTATTAGCTTCTAAATGTGTTAAAGAAATGTGTCAAACCCTCAAAATGACTTTTTCCATGAAACACACATTTTCAAGACCATGCAAAACAAATGAAACGTCGTTACATACACATTATGCAGAAATGCCCAGAAGTAATATTCAAGCCTTAATCCAAATAGACTATACAAAAACACCAGCACTTTCATGCCATCTCCGTTTGGTACGCATACAAATCTGACTACTGAGGACCTTTTGCTTCAGCCAAAAAAAATAAAAATAAGATACTAGTCATCGGCCACTTGACATGAAACAATTCCATCCCTGATGGTGCGTTTCTGTCTTTCTTCTTATGTGCTTAGCAGTGGTGGGGTAGTAAGAAAAGAGTATCACCACTAACATTTAATACTATAAAAAAACAAACATAGTTATATATTCCAGAATATGTACTGAAGCACAAAACCATGATTTCTGAGTTTGGACTTGATACCGGAGATCTTTAAATAGCAGCTAAATGGCATAAACTTCCACTGGAGTCCAAAGTAGGACGTAAACATTAGGACCCCAGACACCTCTGAGCTACTCACACAAAAAAACATTTGGAGAAAAACAACGGCCAGCAGAGAATAAAAACAGAAGCTGACTTACAGATGGAGAAATGGAGCCGTTGGGGAGGTAGGGGTCAGGCAGCATCAGGAACGGATACCCCGGATACGCCTGCGTCTTGTACATGCCTCCATCTTGGTGCTTCGACACTGCCAGGACATGAAGAACAGCAAGCAAGATTTAGAAACTCAATAACTCGAAGAATGTTTAAATGGGACTTTTAATAGAGCCACTTTGTAGAAGTTGTTTTCCATAACTCCTTTGATTTGTTGGCTGAGAGTAAGGGCATTATTCGAAATTAATAGAAAGTTAAAAACAATGTGTTTAAGGAATAAAACTAAAATGTGATACTCACTTCCACAATGCTAAAAGATTCAACTGTGTGTCTCAGAACAAAAAGGAAAGGCCTGACATCCGAAATAAACGTGCATACAAAGTAGGGCAAGTATTTACAAGTGTTGTAGTTACAACATGTTATATCCTTGTGTGGGCACACACACTACAATACTTGAGACAAAAGCATTACAAGCGTCACCTAGCCTGAGAGGCGTGAACTCCTGTAGCCTATGTGTTAATTTATCTCTCACCACCAGCCATATTAAGCATCAGAGGCCTCTCTGTGGGTCAGCTATAACTAGGTTATACCGGCTCTGTATGAAAACACACAAACACAAAACTTTTTTACTGTTTCAAAGCCCAATTCCTTGTCATGGAAGGTGCCCAAACTTTTAATATAACCAAGACTATAACCAAGGTGACGGAAAACAAAATAATCCAATCACGCAAGCACAATCCCTTTTCTGTGAGTTTCATTTTTTCCAAATAGACACATTTGAAACCACAAATCCAAATTTAAGGAAGATTTTGCTCATAGGAACACAATGCAAGAACATTTTTTCCCTTTCAGAAACGATTGGAATGAGTTACACAACTTGAGTACAGCCTACAGTGACGCCTATAATTAAAACTGCCATGTATACATTCTCTAAATGTGCCTTATCCTTGGGAGGGAAAGTTAAATTGCCCTGTTCTTTTTGGGTGGCAACCCTTAAGAAATAAAAATAAACCTCTCAAGGACCCTGGTTGACCCCACTTTTGGCTAAGTATGGCAATAGCTTCACTGCAAAAAATGGCAAGGGTTGAGAGTAAAGTGGAAAAAAGTATGTAGATCTAAAAATGGGGAGATAAAACTAGCTGCCAGTATGAGGAGAATATCTTGAACATCTTTTATACATGATAATATAGCTAACATTGTTACATGAGCTCATCTTTATGACTATATATAAAACATAAAAGTACTTCCAGAGTCCATATTTCCCCAGTTAACATGTTAATACAGATATTTAAATAGTTTTTTTTTTAAATAGCTGTCATAACAGTTTTTGTTGCTACGTATTCTTCTTTCTCCGTATTTGTATGCCCCACATATACCAAACCAAATTCCTCGTATGCCTATGTGTTAACATACTTGGTAATAATACCAATTCTGAATCTTAAGCAATATTCTATGTGAATGCTGAAAAGAAACACAGGAAATGCCCTCAACAAAGTTATGTTTCGAGAGATAAACTGGAGAGCTGCCTACGGTGGACCTCTTTTGCAGTGTGCACCTGAACACAAGTCTTTGAAGTTTGTTTTAATGCAGCAACACGTGTCCTGCTGACCAAAAATACTCAATAGTTTGACACGGTGGGGGGGCTTTTCTTTATCGCTTCTCAGCTGTTTTCTGAGATAGCAGTGGATACTCAAACCCACAAGACAGCGAGTGTGTAAATGAGTCTTCTTCTCACCTCCGTCGTGATGCTCCCGGTGCTTTTCTTGGTAGCCCCTCTGCTCGCCCTGCTGTCCCCGTCTCACCGCCTGCAAGGCACCGACAACAAACACGGGGTCAAAAAGTACAGAAATATAAGCACACAAGTGTCAAAAAAAGAACAAGCGTATCATACGTTATAGTGTGTTTTAGTTCCACTGTGTTATCCCTTCCCTTTAATAAACCCCTGGTAGCCTGTGAACTTTACTACTGTAACCCCTGAAGGCAGTCTCATTCAACGCTTGTCAGCAGCGTGTAAAATAAAACAAGCTTCCTCACACACTCTTCCCGTGTTACATCCACACACACTCCGTGCCACCTACCGCTGAGTTCGGACTTTGATTTATTTCCGACTCGTTCACCAGAGAGGACTTGAGGTCGGCCAGGTCTCTCTCTGTAAACGCGTTTTCTTGGATTTTCTCCTCTTGCTCCCCTTCGTCTTTGAACGCTATCATCTCATCATTCGCTCCCAGGTCGTCCCCGCCGCCGCTGCTGAGCTGAGGCATGTCTACTTCTCCCACCTCCCTTTGCCGATGTTTAATAAGTTAAAAAAAGACGAACAACAAAAAGAAAAAGTATAAATAAAGAGAATGTACGGAGTTTCTCTCCTCTGCCTGGGGCGCCTCTAAAAGTGTAGAAACCCCAACCACATTCAAGGGAAAAAAAGTTGAGATTTCTCGTCCCCCCGGCTGGCTGCTTTAGAGGACTAATGTTTCCCTACAACAGCAAACAGCTCATTTGAGCCCAAGACAAGGCGAGGAGTCCCGACATCAAAGGGCGCCGACCGGATGATTGACAGGTCCGATGACTTGTTGGGGGGTTGTAGCCAGCGATTGTTTCTGTGGAGGGTTGCGCCTCTTAAAGAGACATCACCTCCCTTTGCTCAGCTGAACAGCATTATTCATGACTTCCAGGGGCGCGTTCACGCGATCCTCGGTCCCTCGGCTGCAGACTGCTGCTGCTTTTTGCCACCAAAACTTCATCTAAGTCAAATAATCAGCAAAAGCACCATTGCCGATGAGAAGGTGTGCATTTAAATGATGATTTCTGATATTTTTGTTAAATGGCCTTGCAACTTTCTTGCACTATTTTTATTTCTATTCTGTTATATCTTGCAATATATTCGTAGTATTTTATTTGTTGCATTGTTTGAGGAGCCTTGGACTTAATCATGTCATTGCTATAAGTACACTGTAGCTACTGTGCTTATGACAATAAAGCCTTCGCATTTTGGAAAATTGAATATTTAAATCAATAATGGAATGCTTGTTTCAGAATATGGTTTTCTTCCTTATATCCACTGGGGTTTTCAAGTCACTTTATATCACAACTCTACTATATTCATCCAACACCTGTAATTACTTTACAGTTTGTAAATGTACATTTTGCACTAACAAGCAAACAATGAGCTTAAAAAATATATTGATTAACTATACCAACAATGATTGAAATATAGGTGAAATGCTACATAGACATTTATTAAAATATTTGAATAATCCTGATATGATATTATAACATGCAGTGGCATATTTAAATAATTTAATCATGTGATTATTATACAATTATTTTTATTTAATTAATACGTTTTAGTAAGAACTTTATTAAGTATTTTTACAGTGTGACATGGCACAAAATACATCCTCGACCACTCAATATTCCTTAAAGTAGCTGCAACTGGATTTTTTTAACAGTTTTATTTATATTTGAATACTTAATTACAGATTTGAAATCATAATCACTACCTCATTAGATAGGATATCAACTATGATCCAGCAACATTTGCACAGATACTTTTTTTCCCTGTCACCACCAGGTTTAAAATCAAATCCTCTCCATATGACAATTATACACTTTGAGGAGCTAAAACACATTTTGACTATCAAATATTGGGAAGATGATTTTCTCCTCCGAGCATGTTCATTACTGTCTATGTTGCCCTTTAAAGAGTTTCCCCAAAGGTGGTTTACGTAATGTTGGAAAATGTGCCACCTGAACTTTATTTCTGGTCACATCAGTGCACATTAACCAGGATTTTTATTGAACGCATACCAGACTTCCAGTATACTGATAGATGCGGGATTAAATCGTGGTAAATGTTTTTTTTTTTCATGAGCACTGGATTTAAGGTCGTCCTTTTCTCATTAACAAACTGTTAGTGATTTGTAACTACCATACAGCTCTAGTAAGAAAAATGTAACATTTCTGGTATCAAATGTAACTGTTTTCTCGGGGTGTCATCATCAAGTTAGTTCACACATTTGGTAATTTTGCATTGTGAGTTTTCTCCTATCCCAACTGTCCTTTTGTAGCGTCTGTTCTCACACTGTTCAGTTTTTTTTCACATTGTGGAACAAAAGCTCCTCGTTTGCATGGGCAGAAAAGTGGCATCTCAGGCAAGAAATGTAGGACATTCTGTGAAAAAACATCAGAAGGCACGGCATGCTCATCAATAACAGATGCACTGCATGTTTTTTACTGGTCCTTACATCCCTCAGATTTTGTAACAGTCTCCAAAACAGCGAAAAGTGTTGCAACTACTTGATTTGAGGAGGGGAAAGAAGATACAAAACAAAGTTCAAAGATGTAGACTTGAAGTTCTAATGTCTTGTCAAACTCGTAACTTGGCTTCCCTTATTTTCCTCCCAATGCCAATGCATTTTTAATGCTGAGACAGTAGCATAGCTGGTTTTCAGAGTTTTTAATTGAGAAATATTTATACACTCCCATGCTGTGACTTAATACTTGACTTAATCTGAGTCGGTTGCCTTGAATGAAAATGATGATCCACAGCTGGGAAACAGAATTAAATACAAACAGAAAATGGGTCCAGTATTTGCATAAAACTGCATATTTATACAATATCTTCGATGCATATTAATAAAAAGATTAAAATGAGCGGTTTTAATGTATGCAAATCTAAATTATAAATGAGTTGTTTAAACTCCTTGTTTATTCGCCTTGATTAAATATAGACAGCTGTTTTTCCAGAGAGACAGCACTTCTCCTGTGCGGGCCACGCTGCCTCGTGAGCTCGCCGCGCTCTGATCTTAACACAGTTTCCCATGGATCTGTGCTGATAGTTTCGCATCATCATCACATGGTTCACAGGTTCACCTAAGGCTATAGGCTAAAGTCAGTCTGTCTGTCTTTTCTCTTATACAGATACACCAATCCAGAAACTATCTCTCTCTCTGTACACATGCTGTCTTTGTTGAAATGCTTATGTAATTGCTTTTAATTGGGCATATGTGCCTTTAATTGTGTGTCAATTGTGCTCATGTGTTTTAACCTGTTCTTATGCTTATGGGTTTTTCTGTGCTTATGTGATCGTATACAGTGCCATCAATCTTCCCTTGACTGCAGAGGAAATCTGGCACATTTATATGATGGAATAAAGCACTCAAATGTACATAGTCCCATTTAATATACATTAAAAATGAATCTGCATTATCCCTTTTAAATATATTAATAAAAAAAAAATAAAAAAAATACTTTGATACTATCTGACCTACAAACGCTTTTTTTCTCTCTCTTTGTATATATCTCTCTTTCTCCCTCTTTTTTGATTTGGATTATTCCTGTCGGATCAGAGTCATATTTTAAATTCACACAACACCGTCTTCTCAGTCCACGGTTTTTGTGACACACACACACCCCGAGCATCCTTTCCTTTGTCATCATGTTTGATCTCAAACACTAATGACTGTCGTGACATAAAAAATGGCAACGAAAGGCCAAATAAGGAAACATGATCAGATAGAAAAGATAAGCAGCCCACACAGAAAACAAGAGGATGTTGCTGCTGTGACCCCAGAAAGCGAGCTCTTCACATACAGACGCAGATACAAGTGCTATCTCTGAACAAGACAAAGCCTGTGGTTGTTCTGATAAAGGTACTGTGTTTGATGCAAAGATCTTATTGTTTTATTAATCTAAAGCATCTAGCAGAACGTAACATACATGACTGCGCAGTAATGCTAACATTTAGAATATGTCAGAAAGCAGAGCACTGTTGATTCAACAACACTGTCATTGCAGTACTGAGACAACGAAATGCAGTTTAGCATCTAAAGCAAAATGCAGAAAGCTGTAAAGTGTGCATTATGTACAGTGGGCTATAAACAGTTCAGGATGAGAAGTAGCATATACAATATAAAATGGGGAATTCTTGGTATTTAGATATGTTCTAGCTAAAACATACTGTTCTTAAATGTATAGCAAAAATAAAATGTCGATAAGGAAAGTGTTTATTGACAACATAGTTAATGGTCTGGACTAGTTTTGTGATGAAACTAAGCTGTTACAAGACAGGATATGACAACAGAATACATACTTTCTGCTACCTAAAATCGTTTTTTTCAGACTTTTTAATGTAATAAATAACCGTAAACGGTGAGAGCCTCACTGTAGGGATAGATAATAAGGGGAAACATCATAAATTAACCAATTTGTATTTATGAAGACTAACAGGGAAAATAAATGATGTCACTCAATGCAAGACACCAAATATCCACTTCACTGTCAGCGTGTCAAGGACTCATTTTTTATAGGAGAACATCATTACAATGAGTCCTTTTCCATTGCTTAATCATTGGTGGGGGAAATGTTCCTTCTTTAACACGCTTTATTTTTTATTTTTTATACATAGATGAATCACAGTTGGTTCAAAAAAAGATTATATACTCTGCTTTCTAAAGAAACATCAGGCGCATTAAAGCGGCAGAGTAATTAAATCATGTCCTTTCATTGGGGTTAAACCACATCCAAGCCAACTGCTCTTAACTGGAACCACTTGTGTGCTTTTTATTGGTAGTTTTCCTACAATCAAAACCATGTTCTTCTAGGCAGCATCAAGCCAGCAGTGTGGAACCTGAACAAATATTTTCAACAGTTTTATTTTGCGACCGACGTTTTGCAGAGAAACAGTTAACTTATTTATTGTAACGTCAAATACTCAAAGTGGTTTTAGTGAGATTGTGACTGACTTGTGTTTAGTTGGACCACCACCAATCCGTATGCAACAAAAACATTTAAAGGTTATGGATAGATGATGTTTAATACTGTGCAAAAATATTATTAAATTAATCATGTCTTTAAGCTTTCACTAGATGTGTTGCCCTACTTGTCCTCTTATCTGTGATAATGTCTTTAGGTAGAGCCTGTATTTAAAATGAATAACAGCAGTAACCACCACCAAGAATAGAGGTTACATTAACACCAATATTTTATTGAAATCTAGGAGAGAAATGGTGTTTCTTTTCCTAAAAGATGTCCTTGCACCTGCATTGAAACCTCATACTGGCCAAATACAGTATACAAAACAAGTTTCTGCCCTCATGTAGCTGCCTGAGCACTCGAACCCGATGCTCAGCCAAATAAAACCTGATAAAACCCCTAATATGTTGTGCCAGATAATGAGGCGTATTCAAGTTCTACTTTGCTGAATGCTTGCTGATTTGAATGTCTCCGTCTCTTTTGATCCAGTGCAGTCCCTTTACCTCTTCGTTAGCTCCTTATCAAACATTTATAAGCTGATATCTCAGATCTGCGCAGGGCTTTGGGGATGAAATCAACAAACATAAGCAGTGGAGGAAAAGAGGTTGGAAAGTACATTGCTGGTCTTCAGGAGAGGATCAGTGGACAAGATGCAAAACGCTCTATTTGTGACTTTGTGTTCAGATTGCAAGATTGAAATGTTATCAATGTACAAATTGATCCTATCTTGAGCCATTTTAAACAATTGAAAGTAACTTTATCATTCACATAAGACCAAATAATAGCATTAAGAGCTATGGATCCCTTTCCTGCATTTACTCTGAAGAAATTACAATATAGGCAA